AATTTATCTTCTCGTGTTGAAAATCTCTCACTCGTTCGCTGCGCTCACTCGTGAGAGATCTTTTCAACACTCGAAGATAAATTTCATATCTCCCCGCGCCCATGTAATATCCTCTATATACATTTATACAAATACCTAATGAGATGCGTATTGCAATTTTACTTTTTTAACCCTCAAAACCAATTGATTTATAATCTGTAGGATGTAAAACACAAGAATAAAATATTTTGACATTCATTGAATAAAACAAATAATAAATAAAGCGAGTTTTCTGTTTTGCATATCATTAAATATACTGAATAAATTAGGTATTTGTATAAATGTATACTACAACCTTTCTGCAATCAAGTGTATATATACACTGCGCTTTGCATAAACTTTGACCATTTATATATATATATATATATACAAGTATATCAAAAGTATGTCAGAAATTATGGGATGTCATCCTTGATATTTTTCCCAGAAAGCCTAAGTGCTAGACAACTCGAAAACAATATCAGGGATCATATCCCATAATTTTTGGTATACTTTTGATGTACTTGTATATATGCACAAATGGTCAAAGTTTATGCAAACCGCAGTATATATATATATATGCCATTTGTCTGCTTTTCATAGGATATATATGTATCCAAAAGTGCATGCAAAAAATCAATTGCAAAACATATGGAGAATGCAACTCCAATTGCTATGTTAGTTAAGATAGATATTAAAGATAGTAAGAAATGTTGCTATAGTAACAGTGAGTCATGGCCATACCAAGTCCACATGGCTACTATCTGTGATGGACATGGACGCTATGGTACAACTATGATCTTCCAGATTCTTTGGTTCTATTTTAATATTATAGTACACTGATACATGTATGATAATGCAGTAATTAATAAAGAATGAAATCATGAAACTCTTGCTGGAAGTTCTTGTTCATAAACACTGTCATGTGTTATCGACTTGAAACTTCACAGGTTACAAATCAATTAGTTTTTTTATTGATTAATAATTTTGCGGTTATCATAAAACAATTTAGATTAACGTATTTGATAAGTTAGCAAATTTTAGTAGGAGAATCTGCAAAATGATGGGTAGGAGAAATGATCTTAGACCATTGCTGGTGATGGGAAGGTGATAGGACAATTGTTGGCCATACGTGGGGCAACACATATTGGTTAGTTATGATTTATCTATTGATCTATTTATCCAGGGCATTACTGCAGAAGAACAAGACATTAGCAGGTAGGTTGATAAGTATGGTTATACCTTGAAATGTACATAAGCTTTTGCACAGTGTGAACTAATGTTAATAAAACTAAACTGCTTTGAGAGGTTCTTTTAGACTCTGTGAAATTTAATCATCTAAAGGAACTAAATTCACAGTGTGTTATAGATGAGAATTCCTATCCACAGCTGGAACTTCTATAACTTATTAGTACAATGTATAAACCTATAAATTGTCTATCAAATCCTGCACTCTGATTTGCTGAGCTAATTAAAAAATAGTGGTCTATTAGTGATAGACCACTTGTAGCGAAAAGTACCAGTTTTGAAAACCAAAATAACACAAAAATTAATTATTTCAACCTAATTTCAAATAGTTTGCATCCATTTCTTTTAGTGATTAGTAGCTAGGTACAGTACATGCTAAGATCAATATTAGACCTTGTGCCCTAATGGTCTATAGTACAAGTCAAAAACCCATTCAGCCTTTGGCCTCATGGGCTATCAACTCATAGACAATTTAGGCTGTGGGTCATTGTTAAATAGCATGTTTACAGTTGTTGCCATTTTGATACAGGGTTCTTGAAGCAAGTCTGATTGAAAATAAACCTGGTCTGAAGAGAAAAAGAGGAGATCCATGGATGACGTTTGTAGATCCTGTTAATCCTCATGAGAGAAAAAGATCAGATGGCACTCCTGTTGGGTTTAAGAATGTTGGCAACACATGTTGGTTTAGTGCTGTTATCCAGGTGATAAACTGTGTAGATCTATCTAATATGTTTGTACTATATTGTCCAATACATACATACTCCCCCCGTACTATTAACTATTTTTGGTTAACTTTGCAACTTTCAATCACTATTTTAGCAGTAAACTTCATTGCTCTAATTGTAAACAAGGTTGCTAAAACAAACTCAGTGCTAAACCAAGTTAAATATGGATACATTTATGCATGTTTGACAAATAGGCACTGATATAATCCATATTTGCAGGTAGGTATAATACACTATAGTTGTATACCTTGCTACTATTATCACCACTATAACTGCTGTCACTAGTCTATTGGACCGACATAACTATGCTAATAAAGATCAATGAAGTCCAGCATTTTAATATTGCTTTCTTTTATTTCCTGTACTTGTAGTCTCTGTTCCATCTACCAGTATTTAGAAAACTTGTACTTCATTGTACACTCCCTGATATTAATCAAAACAATTCCAAAGTAAGTAAAAATAAATGTATGTATTTGAAAGAAATTCCAATATTCCTTGTCACATCATAGTCACCATGTTGGTGGTAACAAACAACCTAGCTTTCTATCTTTATACCACCAACATGGTCACCATGTATTGCTGATTTGACTCTTGTGGAAATGCTTGCAAACCATATACCAATACTATTTAGTTTTACTTAATTACGAAAGTAATAATGAGAAGAACCCCCCCCCTGCAATTATGAATGAACCATTGGTTATTGATTAGTGTGCTTCCATCGAGTTTCGGGTGCACACAGGAGGTTGTTAAGCACAAAGGAAGCATAAAAGTCACATGAGTCTAGTCTGGGAACAAAGAAACAAAAATCACAGTTCTATGCAAAAGGAAGACAGCCCTGTGGCCTGCCTCACCAAAGGAAGCCCAAGGAGTTGCCAAGGGAGGCTAGGGTGCATCTTTTTTTTGGATGCACGTTTGTGCATGCTAATAGTTTACCAATCAGAGGGTGTGTCATATCTTGGCTATGTTATAATCTTATGTTATGCGCAGTTGTTTGTACAGAATTTTTTGCTATTAATGATTTATGCATTTTGTAACCCTGCTGATGGGCCATCGGCCAGAAAGTGTGACAATAAAAATCAATAATTTTGATTGTAGAAATGTTTATTTGACAAATCTCTTCTTTTTACTTTCTTAATTATACAGCTTCTCATTAATCCCATATAGGTAACTGTCCAATTATTTTCTTAATTGGACAGGTCTTGTTGATATGGGATTAATTAGAAAGCTATATAATTAATAGGTAATGGGATTTCATGCTCCCCAATCAAGAAATAATTAGACTCGAAAAATTCCTCTGACTGCCAAATTGGACTCAGCCTACAGCCTCATCCAATTTTGTCAGTCCTCAGAATTTTCCTTGTCCAATTATTTCTTAATTGGACAGCATGGAGTCCTATTACATATACTAATTAAGAAAGAATAGCGAGTAGATCTTGTCCCTGTTAATTTTCTTCTGAAATTATTTTTTGTTGTCAGTTCACATTTATTAATACATGTATGAATAATATGTACTTATTGACTGAGTGGGAGGGCCGTACGGGAAAATATTTGGCTCGAGGTGATGCTGTACGGACCGAGCACCAAATATTTTCCCGTACGGCCAGATCTAACTCAGTCAATAAGCATTTTATCATGTGACCCTCATGAAAAGAAAAATAATTAAAAAAAAGAAAGCGCCCGGATTCGAGCAGGGCCGTACGGATTCGTATGGCCCTGCTCACTCAAAGCTGTACAGCACTTCTCACGTCATTTTCTCGAAGGTTTTTCTAAGAGCGTGTGCCCGGGCAGATACGGGTTATATGATAATAAATGTTATGTAATGATTATTTATAAATTATCAAGAAGCACTTCTAATGTGGGCACTCTTATTGTGTGTCAGGAAACACATAGGATATCATTTATGCAGGAACTTAGAAAACTGTTTGCACTTTTGATTGGAAGCAAGAGAAAATATGTGGACCCAACTAAAGCAGTAGAGGTAAAGTTTATAAAAATCCTTTAGATCTCTTGTGGAAGATATATACTGACTTACAAGTTGATCTTTGCTCTTTCTTAAGATACTTAAAGAAGCCTTGCAGTATAACGGCAGTGAGAGTAACCCTGGAAACCAACAAGTATGGATTGACATAATATTAACTTAACCATCATTATCAGTATATCAGTCATCACTATCAGTTATCATCATCAGTCATCAGTCATCATCAGTCATCACCTTCATCAATCATCACCATTATCATCATCACCATCATCATTATTTCAGTCATCACCATCAGTCATCATCATCATCAGTCATCATCACCATTGTTATCAGTATACCATCATTACCAGTCATCACCTTCAGTCATCACCACCATTATCAGTCATCACTATCATTCATCATTTATTAATCATCACCATCATCAGTCATCATCACCATCATGCAGTCATCATTACCATCATGCAGTCATCATCATCATTATAAGAAAATCAGTTGCTTAATATACATGTTCAAATAGATCAATCCTGAATTTGCTTGACTGGTCAGGAAACAATGGTTTCAAGTCGAGGTTGAACTTGATGAATAAAAGAATCAAGTTCTGTCTTGACTTCAAACCATTGTTTCGTGGTCAGTCAAGCGAATTCAGGATAGGTCTATTGCAACTCCAATTGCTATTTTAGTTAAGATAGATGCTAAATATAGTAAGAAACGTTGCTACAGTAACCATAAGCCATGGCCATACCAAGTCCACATGGCTACTATCTGTGATGGACATGGACGCTTTGGTACAACTATGATCTTCCGGATTATTGGGGCTTGCATGAAAATGATTTATTTATCTATCTGCATGTGCTGTAGATGATAACTATTAATTTTTTTTTACAGGATGTTAGTGAGTTCACCCACAAGCTGCTTGAATGGTTAGAGGATACTTTTAAAGTGGAGACTTGTGCTGCTAGTAGTAAGCAAGAAAAGTAAGTCCTTTAGTATATTTTGTGTATACACTGCACATACATAAGAGTAATTCTGTATTTGTTATCAGGTCTAGTAACAACCCGGTAATGGAGCTATTCTTTGGTCAGTCTAAAGTGGAGGGTGTCTATGAAGGTATCTTGCATTGAGCTTATTTAACCATCCCAATTAGAATGTTTGTGTCATGCTAACAAGCTGTATGTATTATATGAACACAGGTAAGAACTTTTCAAACCTCGAGATGTTTGGAGCATACCCTGTACAAGTTCAAGGTTACAACAACTTGCATGACAGCCTTGAAGGAGGCATGGCTAGAGGAGAAATAGAGCCTGCTAACAATGAACAGACACACAAGTCAGACCAAGAGGTAAAGAAACAAACCCTGAAACATTAGCTCTGGGGTGATCTGAGTCAGGACACTCCTAACTCACAGATTGAATCGGAATTAAGTTGGATAAGTTTTGCAAAGAGGGAAAACTGTAAGACCCAGAGAAAAAACCTTGAATCAAGGGAGAGATCTAACACACTCTACTCACATGTGATGCTGAGTTCAGAAATCAAACCAAAGCCCCCAGAGGTGCAAGGCGAGTGTACTACGCTACACTACCCTTGATTCCTGAGTCTTGGTTAAGTGCAATTCACTCATCCAGATATAAATGTTTGAAGACCATCCCATGTACATGTGTATATTTTCATTACCAGCACTGGTTCACCCGTCTACCTGCTGTTTTGAAGTTCATGTTGTCAAGATTCCTGTTCAATCAAAATACTTCCAGAGCAGAAAAGATCCATGAGAGATTTTGCTTTGATACGACAATATACATGGACAGGTAGGTTACATCAGAGTGCATAATACCAATATTAGTGTCACATTACATCATTATATTCTATTAACTCTGGGTTGATCTTTTTTGTAGATATTTGGAGAAAAATAAAGATATAACTAGAATTCGTAGAGAAGAGGTTAAGAAACTAAAAGAGCGACACCAGTTGCTTAGAAACAGTCTTGATAGGTATGTATGCTGTAGATAGTAGGAAGGATCCCAGGACTGAACGTGGGGTAATAGTAAGGTCATGAGTACAAGGGACCTAGGACTGAACTCTGATGTAATACCATGGTTATGATAACAAGGGAACCAAGACTGAACCCTGATGTAATATCATGGTCATGATAACGAGGGACCCAAGACTGAACTCTGGGGTAATACTAAGGATGATGATAACAAGGTATTAAGACTGAACTCTGGAGGAATACCATGGTCATGATAGCAAGGGACCCAAGACAGAACCATGGAGTAATACCATGGTAATGATAAAAAGGGTCCCAAAAATGAACTCTGGGGTAATACTATGGTCATGATAACAAGGGTACCAAGACTGAACCCTGGGGTAATACCATGGTCTTGATAGCAAGGTTTTAAGACTGAACTCTGGGGGAATACCATGGTCATGATAACAAGGGTACCAAGACTGAACCCTGGGGTAATACCATGGTCTTGATAGCAAGGTATTAAGACTGAACTCTGGGGTAATACCATGGTCATGATAACAAGGGACCCAAGACTGAACTCTGGGGGAAATAACATGGTCTTGATAACAAGGGTTCCAAAACTGAACTCTGGGGTAATACCATGGTCWTGATAACAAGGGACCCAAGACTGAACTCTGGGGGAAATACCATGGTCTTGATAACAAGGGTTCCAAAACTGAACCCTGGGGAAATACCATGGTCATGATAACAAGGGTTCAAAGACAGAACCCTGGGGTAATACCATGGTCATGATAACAAGGGTACCAAGACTGAACTCTGAAGTAATACCATGGTAATGATAACGAGGGTACCAAGACTGAACCCTGGGGTAGTACTAAGATTATAATAACTTGTATCAGTCTTGTCTGATTCCCTCGCAGCTATACTAACTATGGCACAGGTGCACGGCATAGCCACATCCAGGATATTCTCGATAGTTCATTACAATTTGTACAAAGTACAGATCCAATAAATGATAGCACTTGCTGTGATGTAGAAATGAAACCAGTCATTCCTGAGCCACCTCGATCTCATGGTATGACATCATTACGGCCTGCCCCTCGGTACATATCACTGTCGGAGCGGCAAAGTATAGAAGCATGTCTGAAGCGCTGGAGGACAGAAGTGGAGCAAGATGTTCAAGGTAATGGCTGTCATGCATGTACTAGAACTACCCGCTAGTTATGATCAAACAAGTAATTGATCAATTTGATTTCTTTGATAAATTTCCAGTTATTTCTAAAAGTTTGAAAGAAGTTGAAGAATCTATTTCTGTAATGTATGATGACGAAGAAATGAAAAAGGTGAGTGACCAAACAGGGCAGTTAGATGGAAGTCGAAGACAGTATACACAGTACGGTATGCTGTAACATTGAAATGGCTTCCCTATGAGTGGAAAACGCACGGTGCTGACTTACAGTACTTGTTGTGTTAATTGCTTTACTATGCATGATACTGTCTTTAGGTTCCCTATCGACTGCATGCTGTACTAGTACACGAAGGACAAGCATCAGGTGGCCATTACTGGGCCTATATCTACAACCCCACAGACAAACAATGGAGAAAGTTTAATGATATCACAGTGAGTCAGGTGACATGGGAAGAGGTAGAAAGAGAGTCATTAGGAGGTTATCGTCACGTTAGTGCATATGGTCTGATGTATGTTGATGGTAGCAGAGAAGACCAGGTACTAGCTACTGAAACACCCGATCACTTACCACAATATCTACAACGATTGGTTGATGAAGACAACATAAATTTTGAAAAAGAGTTGGTAGAATGGGATGAGAAGCAGGCTGCAGCTGCTGCAGCAGCTAAGGCATCTTCTGGTAAGGACAGGCGACCTTAGATATATCAACCCTGCATACCCGTATCTATACTAACTGAGATATTATTAACTCCACAGATGACAAGTCTAAAGTAGCAGCTACTGTCTCATCTCGACCAGACCTGGTTCTAGATGCAGAGGCATCATGTGCAGTCAGTCCTCATGACCATACTCCTATCACACATTTATCTTCTTTACAAGACATAGACAATTTGCTTGACAAAATGTGCTCTAATGAGAAATTACGACTTGAAAAAATCGCTGATGAGCATCCCCCTGATGGGCTACGTGATTTACGATTAGAATACATTGGACACTACTTGATACTGTGTGGTGCACCTCAGTATGTTGTAGAATGGACTATACTGAAACAGATTGTAGATGATACCAAGTCACGTGATGATAGGTAGGTGGGTGGGTGGTTCCCCTCTTACACTATATCTAACACGTACCCTGACTTAGATCTGCCCTAAAGTTATTTCAGGGTTCGATCTGTGAGTTAGCATTGCCCTGAATCAGATTGCATACAATATCAATTCTCATGATAATTAAATAGGTTGATATGTTACTACATTTTATCTTATAATAATTCTATTTTCTTCACAGTTGTCTGCGAATCAAGCGACGTGCCATCGAGCTCCTTAACAAACCCGATCCTGAAAAGTTAGAAGAATTGAATGTAAATATTGCGCAATTGTATTCGTTGCATTTGAGTTGAGCAGGAAGAAAGCGCATGTACGTTGACCATTTTCTGTTGGTTCTAGAAATGGAAGGAAAAATACCAGGTGTTCGAAAGAGTGAATTCTTGTTTCCTAACTGGATTGGAACACTTACATAACAATAAGTATGTATGTTATAACATAACCATTATTATATAACCAGTATTAATATAACCAGTAATATGTATTATATCAGTAATGTATAATGGTAATGTGGGTATACATGTTGTGTAGGTACAAGGAAGCACTTCCATATCTCGTCCATGCCTACACGTTGAATCACAAATTACAAGACGCTGCACATCCTTCACAGTCAATGGACGAAGCATTACTGGCATTCTGCCGGCGTCAATGTTTTTTGGTAGGTTGTGAATCAATTGACCTTTACCTTGTGGTGTAATGTTTGCCATTTCAATAATAAGACTAATGATGCGGACACACGATACGACATCAGACGTCGGATGAAAAAGGCTGTTTTGGGGAGTCGCACGCGGTGCGAAGTTGCATGCGACGTTGCTGAAGTAGAAATTGCTTCTACTTCTACGACTCCGCATACAACATCGCACTGTGTGTTCGCACCCTAAGTTTGAGTTGTATCCATATTCATATGTCTTCTCATGCGCAACCGTTAACAAAGAAATAGTATTCTAGAGAATGAAATGAAAATACATAACATGTATGGGAAGAATCTGACTGTTCTTATTGGTATACTAGGAACTGAATGAACATGCGATAGCACTTTTTGAAGCTCAAGACAAAACAACTCTGTGTGATGGGTTGGATTTGGTCAGTGAGCTGGTCGTACCTTGTATACCATCACTCATTACTAGTCCACATGCCGAAGACCGTGAGGCTGTCGAACAGATCAGAAATAGATGGTTTACTTATTTAGGGAGTAGTATGTTAGATGGTGAGTACTGTTACTGTCTTGTTTGAAGGGTAAAAAAGGAGACAACCTTACTGGATCTATATCTATTACATTTGTCTACAGAAAAAAGAAGAGAAAAACTTCAAGATTTTTTACCCAAATTACTGGATGTGACGTCAGAGGGACATCAGGAGATTCGACCTCCCCCTGTACTCAGGCCTACTAGTTCTAGGGACTTATGTGAAAGATTTACTAAAGCAATGGAACTAGTACATGCTAACATGGCTTTTAGTGCCAAGGCATGATTGATTTAACTACCTGTAATTAGTAAATAATCCCCTTCTGGCGCCTGGGGCTGCTTATCATGTCTGGGGTGAGAAATGGTCCGGGGGGGGATCAGTTTTGCGAAGCTTCAAGGGCATTTGTGATATTTTGAGGACCAATTCTTATCCAATTCTTATCCATTTATCAGTTGATATTCCAGTGAGTCAGAAGGGGTTTATTTCTTTAACAACTCAATGACTTCATTGGAATAGATTCGTTACGTTTGTTTTCAACATAAAATTCAAAATATGATTCTCTCGTCTCGAAGCTGGTAAATGAAAGCTTTTTCCAGCGTTTGACAAGTTTTCTTTTGTTTTCTTTTTTTAACTAATCTGTTTTTCCTGGACAGATATCACTTCGGAGGGGGATATCGTCTGATATCTGTCCTGCACGTGACCCGTTTGAACCAATGATAGCGCGCGAGAATTTATTGTTGGGTTATAAGCGTATGTATGATATATATATAGCTAGATAGATAAATAGATAGGATAAGGGTAGCCAGCAAGAATAGGACTGTGATTTCTATTATAAAAACAATGATGTACAGCCATATTAGAATACAGTTCAATAAATAAACACGATTTACCATTTACGATTATCCTCGTGTTTTAAGGTTCTAGCGAGTAACCAACAACTGCAAGTAAAAAAATAAGAGTTCTTTATTTGCCTGTGGCAAACTAGTCTTAAAATCGGTTCCGTTTCTCCGTCTTTATTTCCATGTCACAAAAAACAGAAATTGCGTAATAGTACCAATATACATGGATTTGAATGATGTGTTCATAGTTTCATGGCCCATACCCTAGCTTAACTGCTGAGGATGTAGCCCGGGCTTTTAGAAGTAATATAATTGAGCTGTAAAAGAAGGTTTCCAAGATTCCGTTGTTTGTAATTCAGATATTTTTTATAATGGAGAGATCGAGAACTTCAGAACGGTTAGCGAAAAACAAATAACCATTCAAACACATTTCTAAACAAATTTATGCCGCTCATTGTCCATGTATATTTCCTGAAATAAATATATTTATTTCGTCAGACGCGACGAGTCTTGTACCGGGTCATGGTTCTTGTAATTTGTGTATTTCAAGATGGAGAGTATATTTAAAACTAGTCACGTCAGTAACACAACTCTGTGTTATAGAGACTAACCGAGTCTCATTCCACTTGACTGGTTTGGATGTTAACACTAAGTGTACATAAGTAACAAGGATGAAAAGGTATTTCTAAGTTTTATTTAATTCAGAGGAGCTGAAACTAATATGGTCGGGCATAAAAAAATATATAACATGTTCCAAAGTACCCCCTCTCCCCCCAAATAGCGGTCCATAACAAAGATTAGGTGTTAAATAAGCTCCAGCATACTCGCACATTAGGCAATCCAGTGCCGTTCCAAGAGCGTCTTGTTACCTATGACAAATATCCATTGAGTATCAAGTTCTTATTCTCGACTACTTCCCATTTATTGTTTTTCAGAGTATTTTATATTAGCAGTGGCGTAACCAGGGATCAGGGGAGGTGCACAGGCAATGATTTGCAGAACAAAAAAAAAAAGGAATAACAGGTGAGTGACTCTTAAAAATGCTACAATATGCAGATGGAAAGTGGTCTTGATTTAATCAAAAAACATTTACATGCTATTTTAAAGCAAATGGAGATAGAGGACCTTAAGCTTTTATGGGTGGGGGGGGGGTGCACGTGTTCCCTGTGCTCCCCCCTGGTTACGGCCCTGATTAGTTTTTTTTTTTTTTTTTTCAAATTAACTAAATGGTATTGATTATTCGAATAACTACTTGATTATTGATTATTTGAGCAACATTATGAAACAGTGAAAATCTTTGTTGTTCTTTCTATCTCTATTGGTAGGTAAGGTGGTGGGCTCGCAGGTCAGGGGCGGATCCAGAAGTCCGAGAAATGGGGAGCCTAAAAATTCGGCGTTATTCAAATCTCACTGCTGACCATCCAAAACGAAAAAATACTTGTGCCATGCACCACAGGAAATTCTTAAAATGTGATTTCCATAAATGCCATTTCTGCGTTTTGAAAAGATAAAAAAATTCCTGAATTAAAATGGTACTGCGACCCTCTTAATCTGCCCCTCCAGGTTCTACTTCGTTTGATTTATCAAGCCGTTTTAACCGACAACGGCAAAAGAAAAACAAAAAGACTGAACAACTCTACCACTGTTGATGATTGATGAAATCCAAGGCGAGGTCTTATTGCAAATTCGTTTCCTTATAGTAATCAGTGCAAATGATGACAAATAAACTCAAATGACACCTATGACAACACTCATTAAGTTCCCATCGTCAGATTCTTTTAAAATTTTGCATGATGGGAAAACATCATACTAGAAGAAAAATAAGCAAATAAAAAATGGGGGTCCACGGCTTCGTTCGAGCCGTCAGAATGTGTGAAACCTAAGCCCCGTTTACACGAAGCCGGATATTTTTTTATCCGTGTAAAAAAATGTGCGTTTACATGCGGCTTCGTGTAAGCGCTCATCGTTTTCGCATCGTTTTCGACGAAAACGCTCCATCGACTCGAAAACGCTCATAGGAGCTAAATGAGCATGCGCATAGTTCCTGAGCCTGCGATCTCCTTTGTTTAGTGAAGTCAGCGTTTACGAAAATATCCGGCTTCGAATGTTTACACGGAAAAACATAGCAAGCGTTTTCAAAAATATCCGCTTTGAATACCGTTTTCGAAAATAGCCGGCTAAAGACCGTCTCCGTGTAAACGGTAGGCCTAAACGGATAAACAAATATGCGTTTACAAAAATATCCGGCTTCGTGTAAACGAGGCCTTAACCCTTCCAATAGCAAAAACGCGCAAACAACGTAGACATGGAAAGCTGTCAAAAATAAGCCATATTTTACTGAAAAAATCAATTTGATCGCCCTTCTTATTTCCCCCAGAATTCCAGAAAACAACCAAATAACTTCTTTTTCCCGTAAGTTGGGTATTGTAAAACATTATATTCTGCTTATCAAAATATTAAATGAAATCACGATGAGCGCACTGCACTAAGTTCGTGCGATAGAAAGGATGCGCGCGAACAATGCCCAAGGACGTCCTTAACATATTGGAATTATAAACCTTGATGCACTCAACAACCCCACACCCCTTTTTTCCCCAAATTATTAAAAGAAAGGAAAAGAAAAAATAAAGAAAAAACCGCCCGCAATGCGTTTTTGTAAAACTCAGCAAAGCAAATGAAATTTTACCGTCTAAATTCAAAAAAGCCGCCATTTCGTTGCTACGAAGAGGGGGAGAGGGCGCTAGGACAGAAGGATTGGGTTATGTGAGTTTGTTTCACTTCTGATTCGCAGACACTAGAGTTTACTCATATCTCATATAATACGGTTTGACGTGAGTGGGCCGTAAAAAAAGTTTGGCTCTCCTCGGTTTACAGACGGGGAAATATTTGACTCTTGGTCCGACACTATTATCATTGTTCATGTTTCAAAAAATGTTATCAATTCTCTGGAGATCAAAATTCTTTTGTTTGTTCCTCGAAATTGAGCTGCTTTGACTTCACATGCAAGAGGTCTTATTAGTTGGTTTTGTATTGTCGTGAAACTTGTGGGTCACCGTAAAATCACTCTTCACGGTTATGATTTCTATTGTTTTTTGCATGAATTATTAATTAGCTGAATAAGGTGTAAAATAGAAACGTTGTGTCATGAAAGGTCTGTCTGCCGTACCTGTTAAAACTTCTCATTTTGTAGTTTCACTACACCTACAACACTTCACCGCTGGTCTAACCACGATGAAGATGAACAAAATAATAAGCTTTGCTGTACTCGTCGCTGTCCTACCAAGTTACTACTGTTCGCTGTTCCTCCCTCATATTCTCCTAGTTCTGGTGGACGACCTTGGTTGGAGCGACATTGGTTACAACAACATTACAAATATTCGAACACCCAATATTGATCAGCTTGCTACTCAAGGTGTTGTACTCGACAACTATTATGTACAAGCAGTTTGTACTCCCACTAGAAGTGCGTTAATGACAGGCAGATATCCCATACATACCGGTAAGAATTCTTTATTATGTCGACATCCTAGCGTTACCAGTCCTTACGCCCCCAGTCCTACCCGGTAAAAAATGAATACTGCCTTACTTTTCAATGCATAGGACAGTCACCACAATGGAAATACGATCTACTCACTATGTCAAAGCTAGCAGCCATCTTGAAGAGAAGCTGTATGACACAAGGATTTTCAGAACAAAACGAAATAAACGACAACAACAAACAAACAAAACAAACAATTTCACTATGCTTCTCAACATTTTAAAGTATTTTCGCATTTTCGTAAAAATGTGTATACTTTAGGATTCCAGAAAAAAATTGATTAATTGAAGTCAAAAGCTTGATTACCAGGGACAAACCTTTTTTCTTTCCAGATGTGAAATCATCAGCATTTAATTTGGTATTAGAAATCATGACTCTTTTGACGTTATATATATACAGTAGTAGGTAGACATCTTAATCCACGAAATATAGTGCACCCACCATGCTGGACCCCTGTTTTTGGCCCTGTAGAAGTTCAAAACGTATATGATTTCTCAAACTTTTGAAGGCGTCATTGTGGGCTCAAATAGTGTCGTCATCGTCTTTGCTTAGGCAACCAAAAAAATCTTTACGACCTTATTTTTTAAAAACAGTCATTCCTGACTTGCTCTGTAGTCTTTTGGCAAACTTTGGGAAACCTCATAAAACCGCTCAAGCAGTGATTATAGTCTCAGAATAACTGGTCGCCCGACCAATCACAGCGCGCGAAACTCTATATTCTAGTCTAAAATTATGCTAAATAGCTCCCGCGCGCGCGATTGGGATCATTTGCACGTCGGCGGGGGAGTGCCGTGTATTTGACACTAATGACCGTATTTAATTTTTGGACGTGTTTATAGGTATGCAAAATGGAGGCATCAAACCAGATACCCCCAATGGACTACCCTTACATCTACAACTTCTGCCACAGAAGATGAAAGAAGCTGGTAAGAATTGACCCACGACAGATACCACATGACATCACGACAGATACCACATGACA